TATTTTTGTCGGGTATCGGATATATTTGTACTTATCTTGTTTCAGTAAAAAGATAATTAATTTTTTTTTGTAAAAAATATTAAAAAAAACAAAATTTTTAACATAGAATAACAATTAAAAAATTACATTAATTAAATTTTATTTGAAATAAATTTAAAATAAAGTAAAAATTATATAAAAGTCAAATACATTCTAAAAAAAATAAATTAAATTTATAAAAATTTAAAGTTGGTACGAATACATGTACTCATATGAATTCTATATCCATATTCATATTTGATCAAATTAAATATTCTTTGTCAAAATTAAGACATATTCATATATCACTTGCGAGTATAAATTTACTTGTCATTCTTATTTTATAAGAATTTCTCTATTTTCCTCAAATTCTCTTTCTCTTTAAGTGAGTATGTCTTGCTCCTTGATGCTTGATCAATGACTTCTCTTCCTATATTTGTCGAAGAGGTTTGCACTTGGTGCAATTAATGCACCGAATGGTGCTATTGGAGTTTGAATATTTTCACACCTCCATTTGCATTATTTTCCATTCACGTACATGTTTCTTTCTTATTTTCCCGTTGGCCGGTAATTTTAAGGTACAAATTCTTACATTCACGTTTGCATTGGGTGGTAAATTTCCAACCCACTGCATTTGTTTGCTGGAACTCAAACTTATATACACTTCTATAATTTATTCAAATTGTATGAGATGTTTATATTGAAATATTTATTAATTTGTTTGAGGAAATCAAACCAAAAGAAAGATTCAAGTTAAAAAAAGATTGTTCATATATAGAAAGACGTGGTTTTACATCTGAAATTCATTGAGCACTACAACAAAATCAAACCAGAGTAATTAAAAATCATAGGATGAAATGGTCAAGCTAAACCATTTTAGATCGGAGCCTCTTCAACTCTTATGCCACCAGTAACCCTTCTTTGAGTTCTTCCCCCTACCCTTCTTTCACTTCCATATTGAAAGGCTTGGACACCAATAGCCTCAATTATGGGTGTCCATAACTTTTCACATTACAACACATGACATTAAGAAATTAATTAGGGATGTATGAAAAAAGGATGGTGTAGGAGTGGCAATGAGAGGAATACAAAGTAGAGGAAAAGGAGGTGGGTGGTCATGGGCTCATGGCAACGGAGGAGAGGAGAAGAAGAAGGAATGAGTTAATATAAGAAGGATTGATTTTTTATTTATTTATTGAGAAATGTTGGTGATATATTATTTAACACATTTTTTTAAACACTTTCTATTATTGATTAAAATTTATTGAAAACTATAAAATTATGAGTGTGATTCATTAAATGAGAATAAAACTCCTAAAATTTTGTAATTTCTAAGGACATCCATCAAATAATAAAGAGTATGTTCAAATGAGTGTTGTTAACATTTTTTTTTGAATTCCTATTGAATTCATTTTAATCCATATATACATTGTCTTAAGAAAGTAGATTTTAAGTCTAACTCAAATGATGTAAATTTTTTAATACACTTCTCTCATGTTGAAAAATAGACATTTCTAGCATAAAATTTGTAAGACTAGATATCTATGGATTGTGGTTGACTTGATGATAACCCAATAATGAGTAACTTAATAATTCTGACAATAATTAATAATCATTAGAATAAGCTTTGATATCATCTTTAAAAAATAGATTTAAAATCTAATTCAATTTTATAAAATCAATTTGTAAAATAATGATTATTCTATACTTATATATACTATTATGACTTTGTCACTAATTGATATGATATCTTTAATAAATGAAAAAGAGTGTTTTTGCACCATGTAATGTGTTAATCAACACTAAAATGACACTAAATTATGAGCCCATGTTAGATATTAACTCAACTAATGATAATTTGGTTCAAAGGAGGGGGAGGAAAAAAAAATTAATGGAGGGAAAGGAAGAGAACGTGTTATAAATTTTGTTTGGTTGAGAGGATGAGAGGAGTGGAAAAGTAACTATTTTCTTGTTTAATTCACAAGGGAGAAAATTTTTAATAATTAATTTACTTTTATATCCTTATAATTTTATATTTAATAACATAATTAAGAATATTTTGAATACTATATTAAAAATATTTCAAAATTTCTCATTTTGCCTTCAAATTCTCTCAATATTGGAGGATAACTAATTAGATGAGGTGGAGTTTTGCTCTACTCTTCTCTTCTTTCTATTCCTTTTCTAAAAATTGAAACAAACAATAATTTTTTTTAAAATCCCTCCAATATCTTCTTTTATTCTCCTCCAATCAAATATTATGTAAAAAAAATTAGATTAAATTTTAAATTTCGTTAATTCTGATAACTGATTTGACATGACATTACAAAACCAAAATGATGATAATTTATCTAATAAAAAAGAGGTGATTGTTCCACAATCCTATTAATTTCTAATTCTTTCCTTTTTTTTTATTCATCAAATATCTTATTATGTAAGTAAAGTGCAAATTATAAAAAATGGAAGAGTCATTATCCATAAATCATCAAGATGGAGTAAATATAAAGTATATGAGATCCGGTGACCTTAGTTTTATTATTTGAAGGCACAAGTATACATGGTTCTGCCCTAAACCATTCCGATGCCATATAACAGATCTTCCAGGAATCCCAACCTCCGCTGGGAAGGAATTCATACTACCACAACCTCATTCGGGTTAACTTAATTATCATTAGCAAGTAAAGCAGTTAAATTAATAACAAAAATCACACCAAGATCATTGGCTTAGCTTACCAAGTAATGAAATAAATCTGTATCTTGGAGTTGGAAATCAATTTGGCCCCGTTTAGTTTTTTTTTTTTTTTTTGAAAAATACTTGTTTTTTTTTGTCAGACTTTTGCTGAGGAAAGATCAAAACACACGACAGCATAAATAATAATTCAGCTGAACGAATCTCTTAAAAAAGAATCCCAGCTTTGTAATTTAAGTTTTTCTTTTAAAAAAATGAACCATAACCTTTGAGTTAAAGAGTTCTTACATCATTAGATGGTCTAAGATGTATTAAAACGAATCAAACATAGTAACATATGAATGTGCAGATAACCATTCTCTTACTTTACCTTTCCATCATTGGAGATTCTGGTATCAAATTTTAATGACTATTTGAAATCAGTGTGCGTGATTAAATACTACTAATTATTTATTATATGCAGTTTTTTTTATTCATTTTATTATTATTATTATTATATATGTAATAATATGGTTATCAAAAATTTATTTTAAAATAAAAGCCTATAAGTATAGTAGCATCTCCTCTCAATTCAGAGTCAACGCCATTAAAACATTATTAATTTTGTGTAGCATAATCAGACAGACAGCAAGTAGGCAATGTGCTGTGCAATCCCATGATTAAAAATTAGCAGTCAACGGCTACACTCCATTCAAAGTTTTCATGAACTTGGACACAATATAGGCCCAATTCATAATTCATACAATGCCTATGCGTATTAGTATAAAATACTACTATATGTTTGGTTTTTACTAATTTTATTTCTTTTATAAACTCTCTAAATAAAAATTTATTAACAACTTACTTCAAATATGTAAAGCTAATCAAAATACTGGTTAAAAGAAAAGAAAATAGTTAATCAGATTAACCAAAAAAATCGATTTTTTTTTTAATTTTTTTGTATATTCATGAATTTGTGCGAGTAAATGACCCTAAGAACCGAATTTTTTTTGTCATTTTTACTTTTATTTTAACTGTTAATTATTACAACCTTTCTTTCTACTTTCAAACATCTATTATCTATTTACATTTACAAACTGAAGTACAGGTTGTGTGATTGAGATTTAGTAATATCAAATTCTTTTCCTCATATCATCAATATTTAATTTGTTAGCTTCTCTTCCTTTTTTTTTTTCCTGTCAAGTGTCAACTAACCAAATATTTAGTGCATTTGATAGAGCAATTTTAAGTGTAAAAGTTTCAATATCAGTTATTTTCTTAAATTTATCTTATTGCTTGTGATATTCAATTACAATATTTTTTGTGTAACTAAAATCAGCTGAGTGTAAATTATCAGCTACCACAATGAATTTTTTCCACACACTAACTCATTCTTTGTTGTTGTGTAATGTTTTCCAATATTTAGGAGTTGGTAGTGATATAATTTGTTCAAGATGGTGTGTGAAATAACTCTTAGTATTTTCGATATATATTTATATATAATATAATATCACGACTTATTAATTTAGTATCGGTAATTTTGATGTGAAATATGAGAGGATGGGAAGAATTCAGTATCATTTGCTCAAGAAAAATGAATTACAAAATTGCTTTGGCATTTGTAATTTAGAAATTGTTCTCTCTTTGGTTCAGTCATTTTCTTACAAATTGCTTTGGCACTTGTTTACCTAACTGTAAGTATACAACATTCAATGAATGATTGAATGGCCAACAACACGCATGTAACATTCAAGGAGAAAGAAAACAAACACACTGCTACCCATTTGTAAATTAATTGAAAATCATGGTCAATGGCAATAATAAAGCTTATCCAGGTGTCAATTTGTCAGCGAAAAGAAACTTAAATTCACACGAGAATTCGTTTGGAAGTGTTCCATCATATATAACCCCTTTTTTATGCTGTCGACGATTCAACCTTTTCGCCCTCCCACTCAAACAAAATAGAAATTGTAGAACCGTTTGTCTACGAAATCTCAAGTAGCCAACTGGTGTGGTTGACTTGGATTAATAAATAGAACAACAATTTGTTTAATTGAAGTTGAGCCTCACACATTACATCAGTTACAGTTGACATTCCCAACACTTCTCACTTCTGGTTCTATATAAAGCACATTGGCTTTATCACAAAAACAGCAAGTTCGTGGGGTATCATATCTTGTAACATCATTTGGTACTTTCACATTCACTGTTTCGTTTCAATTATATTCTTCTAACTAACAACTTCACATGACAAAATGTGACCATGCAACATTATAGAATGGTCTACTTATACAAATTACTACGTGCTTTGCAGGCGATATATTGAATGAGTCAGCGTGTGAGTGACGAGATTGTGGCAAAGGCCATGGAAGAAATAAGAAGTGGAGCTTCTTCAGGTAGACATGGAAATACTTTACCTCATGTTTACAAGGTTGGAGCTCCTCCTAAGCAGACACTTTGGCAAGAGATCAAACATTCTGTTGTTGAAACTTTCTTCTCAGACAAACCCTTTGAAAAATTTAAGGACCAAACTGCCTCTGCAAAGTTTTTTTTAGGCCTCCAATATGTCTTCCCCATTTTTGACTGGTCAAGGAACTACAATCTTAAAAAATTCAGAGGTGATCTCGTTTCTGGACTCACCATTGCAAGTCTGTGTATCCCTCAGGTAAATAATATTTTTTTTCTTCATAAAGACACTTTTTTTATTTGGTGAAATTTACGCAAAGTCTCATTTTTATTGATATTTTTTAACACACTCTTTTATCACCTGAAATTTATGTGTACCCCATATTAAAAAAGTGGATTTGAATCTTTTCTCGATCTCATAAAACCAGTATATAAGGTAAAAATAGAATATACAAAAGTGTAAGATAATCCTCAATTCATATTGAATTTGTAAAATTGTGATAAGTCTAAACACTCATCTTTTAAGATGGTATCACAACATATATATTATATATATATTAAAGGGGTGATCAACATATTATCCACATATAAAGTGTAATAGTATTGAGCATGAAGAGTGTATTAATAAAAGTTCAACTCTTATATAAATTAGAAATAAAATCAAAATAAAGTATATAATTAAGAGATGACCGTTATATTAATGTTGAGTTAGTCATAAAACTATGTTCTTAATACCCTAATTCTTATTTGATGGATCTCATCCTTAAATCAGTATGACTTGCATGAATTTTAACTGAAAAAAGCAATTGTGTAGGAAAGAAAGTGTTAAAAAATGTAACTATTCATGGTAGTAATTTGTTTTTTTTTGGATGATCACTTCTTAACATATGAATTCATGGCAGGACATTGCATACGCAAAGCTTGCAAATTTGGATCCCCAATATGCACTATGTGAGCATCTTGATTTCTTTTAAGAAAGCAACTTGGACATGTTAGCTCTTCAGTTATATGACTTGGCTTTCCTTTTGACTGTGTGCAGACACGAGTTTTGTGGCTCCTCTTGTGTATGCTTTCATGGGAAGCTCAAGAGATATTGCCATAGGACCCGTAGCTGTGGTGTCCCTCTTGCTTGGAACTATGCTATCTGATGAGATCAGTGACTACCATAGTCATGAATACCTGCGTCTTGCATTCACTGCCACCTTCTTTGCAGGAATCACTCAAATGGCACTTGGCGTTCTAAGGTATAGTACTAGTGTTTGTTGGACTAGTAAATGATTCTCATGCTTTGTTCTTTCTTGTTTTGCCTCAATTATTCTTGTGATGCAATCTAAACGTGAATTTTGCAGGCTTGGTTTTCTGATTGACTTTTTGTCTCATGCTGCCATTGTGGGATTCATGGGTGGAGCTGCCATTACTATTGCACTGCAACAGCTTAAGGGTCTGCTTGGCATACAAAAGTTCACTAAGAAAACTGATATTGTTTCTGTCATGCGATCGGTTTTCAATTCAGCACACCATGGGGTAAGGTTTCATTTTGTTTAGAAAATCACTTTGAAATGGGGTTCACAACTCACAAGCATATGTTTGCTTTAATCTTTGCTTACAGTGGAATTGGCAGACAATAGTCATTGGATTAGCATTCTTGGCTTTCCTTCTTACAACCAAGTATATTGTAAGAATGCCAAAATCATCTTTCATTGCTTTCTATACCTTCCTTTGGAACTTCCATTACCATAACTTTTCTGCTGTGATGGACAGGCTAAGAAGAATAAGAAATTCTTTTGGGTGGCTGCAATTTCTCCTATGATCTCTGTCATACTGTCTACCTTTTTTGTCTACATTACCAGGGCAGACAAGAAAGGCGTGTCAATTGTAAGTAGTATAAAATTGATTGAATAGTTGAAACATGAAACAAAAGTAAGCATTGTGAAACTTATTGAAAGTATTCTATTTCAGGTGAGACATGTTAAGAAGGGTGTGAATCCATCATCTGCTAGTGAGCTTTATTTAAGTGGAAAATATCTAGGCGCCGGTATTCGGATTGGTGTGGTATCTGGTATGGTAGCACTCACGGTAAGCAAATTTCACTCATGACTCCTCATTCCTCAGTGAAAAGTGAGCAATTAAATCCTCCATGAAGAAAATAAATGATTGAAGATTGATATTATGTGCACATGCATAATAAATCATGGATGTTTTGAAATATCAATAATTGATTTTCTCTGATAATTATATTTGTTGAACTTTAGGAAGCTGTAGCAATTGGGAGAACATTTGCTGCCATGAAAGACTATTCACTGGATGGTAACAAAGAAATGGTGGCAATGGGAGCAATGAACATTGTTGGTTCACTAACATCTTGTTATGTGGCCACAGGTACAACTACTCAACATGTTTGAGCCTCTACTAACTTCATTTGATTTTCTTTTAACTATTTACCCATCACTGTTATTGTTATGTAGGATCTTTTTCTCGCTCAGCAGTGAACTTCATGGCTGGTTGCAGAACTGCTGTTTCAAACATTGTTATGTCCATGGTTTTGTTATTAACACTGTTACTCATCACGCCACTATTCAAGTACACTCCAAACGCGGTGCTTGCTTCTATTATTATAGCTGCTGTGCTTGGCCTAGTGAACGTTGATGCAGCTATTCTGCTTTGGAAGATTGACAAATTCGATTTTGTTGCATGCATGGGAGCCTTCTTTGGTGTGATCTTCAAAAGTGTTGAGATTGGCCTTCTAATTGCGGTAATTAGAAAACCAAGAGAAAGTTCAAAAAGTGATATCTGTCATTTTTGCATATTCATCAATTTGGCCAACCACAATATTTAATATTCTTATTTATGCAGGTGGGTATATCTTTTGCCAAAATCCTTTTACAAGTGACAAGGCCAAGAACGGCAGTGTTAGGGAAACTTCCAGGGACTACTGTTTATAGGAACATCCAACAATACCCCAAAGCCACCCAAATTAATGGCATACTGATTGTCAGGGTTGACTCTGCTATTTACTTCTCCAACTCCAACTATATCAAGGAGAGGTAAATAACTGTTATCCCTAATAAATATGCGTGTGCATGTAGAATATAGTACACACATAATTTAAAATGGCAACTAACTAACTACAAGTGGCTGATATGACAATTTTTACCATGAAAACTGAGCTAGTAACCTTTTGGAATCCAGTGTTTTCATCCTTGTGGTCAGTTTGTAATGGGGATAAAAATGATGGTAAAATATTCATGGATAAGTTTTACTAGTAAAAAAATTATATTGAAAATTGAAGCATCCCTTGAGGTATAATATTATTTATCAAGTTGTAGACACTCCCAGGTCAGGGTCAGGAAAGTCTAGATATTGATTCAGTTGATTAAATTTAGGGTGATGAATAATTTAATCACGATTTGCAGAATTTTGAGATGGCTGACAGATGAAGAAGCCCAAAGGACAACAAGTGGCTTGTCTAGAATAGAGTATCTCATCGTTGAAATGTCACGTAAGACTTTCTACAAAATCTTTGCCAGTTAATTTTAATGAATGAATTTATTCAATCAATCGTGTTCTTGCAGCTGTTACTGACATTGACACAAGTGGCATCCATGCCTTTGAAGAGTTATACAAGAGCCTTCAGAAAAGGGAGGTCCAGGTAATAATAATTAAATAATCGTAGAATTTAACTCTTTCTACATCATGAGTCATTCTAGCTAATTAACACATTTAGCCTTGTCCTATTATCCTTAAAATTTGGCAAAAATGTCAACGAATTCCTAAGAACATGTATTGTATCTGCTGGACAAAGATACAGTTAAAGCCAATTAATTAATCAAATGACTTGCATGCGCGTGCAAAAAATGTCATGAATAGTGATATTATTGTTATTTTGTAGTATTAGAAAACGACGTGTACTAAATAATTGTGATGACGTTCATCTCTTTGGTCTTTTTCACAGCTTATGTTGGCAAACCCGGGGCCAGTTGTGATGGAGAAGCTCGACGCATCCAAGTTAACAAACTTAATTGGGGTAGATAAAATATTCCTAACAGTGGCTGATGCTGTTTCAACTTTTGGTCCAAAGGGTGAAGGTGTAGTATGAACAAATTCAATAACTGCTTCAATTCAACCGTTGAAGTCAAAGATGCAGTAAAGGGTTGGGGAAAGCTGTTCAAGGAGCTCCTTAGAAAGCTTATGAGCAGTGTTATGTAAATTTCTCATAAGTAGTTCTGTTTGATTCTCTTCGATTTTTAATCCCAGTCGATGTATAAAACATAAGGAATATGAAATAAATTTGGTTTGATTACACCTTGTCTTTGAGAGCGCCTTGTTTTAAGTTCTCTTTATTTTTTTATAGGAATAAAGAGGTCGAGAAAATGTAATCTCATGCGAGTTAACAAATTAATAATTCTTAGGCATATTTTATTTTTGGAAAAATAATAATATTCTCACATGTAATTATTTTTTATTCACGAGAGAAGAGATGAAATAAATGATTTTCATGGGACTATAATTAAATATGTCAAAATGGTACAATGCGACAACTTTGTCTAATAGTCAAAACAATGAGAATGGGTCGTGTTAGGAAGTTAACATCTAAGAATACTTCATCAATAAATAGTGAATAATTCATGTGAATGAACTTGATATCATATCTTAATCCAAAATTTTAAGACATTTAATTGGTAAATCTTTTTTTACTTATCCAACTATATTCAATGTGGGTCACTTACATTTGAACTTCAACACTTCTTCTTAAGTGTGAATCACTTTCACATGGTCACACTTCTCGTTAAGGGAAAATCATTTTTTTATCATAAGTATTCAATGGTAGATACAAGAGATAATCTCACTCTTGAATCTACTGTCCTCCCTATTATTTGTCAACTCAATTGTTTAATAGGGATCTCACTTTTAGATTCATTGCCAATTTTATTAACCAATACTTATTTAAATTGGTTATTAGCTACTTACACTACTAGAATTTTTTTATTACATGCGACTTTTCCTGCGAATTTTTGTTCCTGCGAATTTTTCTGCAAAATTTTATCTGCAGGTAATACCTTCGTGGATAATATATTTTTGCGAATTTTAAAATTTGCAGGAAAGTTTCTTGCAAAAAAAAATTTGCAGGAAAGTTTCCTGCAAATTTTTTCGCAAGAAATTTTGCAGGAATATTTTTACGAAAAAATTTAAAAAAATTACTATAAATTCTATCAATAATTTTTCAACTTTCAAATGCTCACAATGAATTCATCCGAAGCATTTGTTTTCATGCCTCCAACATGTGATACATAATCTTTTAAATTCTAAGATTGTAGATTATAAACTTAATACTCAACCATACAAATCAACTTATAAGGTAAGTGTTGCCCCAACTTATATACTCCTTGATTGCTTTATTTTCAATCAATGTGGGACTTGAAGTTTTTTTTTAAAATATTAAACTTATAAATTTAAATATTTTTTTTTATTTTTCCTGCGGATTAAAATTTGTAGGAAAATCTACAGGAAAAGTTACCTGCAAATTTTTTTTACCAATTTAGTAAACATTACTTGCGAATTTATTTTTGCAAGAAAATCTGCGAGAAACAAAATAAAATTCTTACAATATTTTCTGCAAATTTTTACCATGGAAAATTTTTTTTATGATTATTAAAATTGTAGCAAAATTTGTAAGAAATATCTGTAAATTATTTTTCGCAAATAAATTCGCAAAAAATTTCTGCGAATATTTTTTCGCAGGAAAATTTGTAAAAAATTTCTGCGAATATTTTTTTGCAAGAAAATTCACAAAAAATTTATGCGAATATTTTTTTGTAGGAAAATTCGCAAGAAAATGACACTTTTCTAGTAGTGTTAATTAATTCATTAACTTTGATACCATTATTGAAATTAAATACTAGAAAACATTTTACTAATGGATAATGAGTAAATTATATAAATAAACTTCACACTACATCTTAATCTAAAATCTTAAGATATTGAGTTGATTAATCTTTCTCACTTATATACTAGTTAACAAGTTTAATTTTATCTTACGTGAATCTCTCATTCATACTTGAACTCCAACATGCTAGACTTCAAAAGAAAGTGAAAAAAAAATTTAGACCAATTGAATCAAGTTGGATAATTAATTATTATGACCAAAAATTGCTTCTCATTATTTCTTTTATTTTAAAAACTTTAAATTTAAATAAAAAATTAATTAATTTAACCTAATCTGACGAACAACGTGTTAAGCTGAATCACAAAATAAGTGAGTTACAAGAAAGTTGAGCTAAATCAATCCATTTGACAACTCTGTCGAAAATCCTTTATGTTAAGTAAGAATTCTTAAATACATTCGCTAGTTGCTGCTCACAACATTAATACCCTTCACATTTCATTACAGGACATGTGTCTTAATAATTATTAAACCGCTTTAATTTTTATGCATTTAAACATTACATTAAACTAAAACATATTGTATAATAACTTGAAAACCCATTTCATTCTAATATCTTGATTGACTTCTTAATATCATTACCGATTTTTTTGAGAATAAAAGAGAAAGAAAAAAAAACCATCATTAATTGATGAAAGAAAAGCATATTAATATTTTAAATTTCTAAAAGCAAAAGCGAAGAAAAATGTGTTCTGGTTTGATTATACCTCTGTTTAAGTGTTTATCTTTCTTGGTGGAAGCAAATGTTTTCTTTATGATTTACATATGCTCAATCGTTGCAGAAGAAAGAAAATAGATTTCATGGTTTGATGAATTGAATCATAATGAATTTCCAAATGGATCAATATTTATTATGATACGTTCAAACAATAAAATAATTAAGTATTTTTACAATGTCTCCTTATCAAGCCATATCAAATATTCAAACCCTTCGACCACAACGTAAGTTTTCCTCTGTGTTTATCTTCGCTCACAGTAATAATATAATGTGTTTATATATTAGCTAAATAGAATACAAAATTAAATTATATGTCCAATTCAGAATAACGTAAACTTTTTTGTTAAAATAATGAGTTTCAGACTTTCAGTCATACACTAATCTACAGATGTTACTCCGTCGTAGTTTTGGAGGCAATTTCCCTTAAATATTTTCATGTTCAACTAGTATTCAGTCACATAATTAACAGTTTCTCATATGATTACCACTATATATTATGATTGTATAATCATTTTTATATTTATTGAAGACGTAATTGAGAAAATGACATATTGTTTTCTTGGTGAATTTCTTGTCCATAGAAAAAAAATCGCAAATTCAAACAACCCATTGGTTTTTAAACTTTTATAATGATAATCTAATTTTTTATTTATTTTAATTTGTAAACCCTTTCTTACTTTTGAAACAAACATTTCACATTAGACTACTCTCACGATTAAGAATTCGTCTAAACAGTGGGCTTGAAGCCCAATTCACTCTCATGCCGTTATGCATCCCAAATTAAAGAATGTATTTAAACGTTAGATTTAATATGAGATAAAAGGTTGTGATTTTTGACTGGGCAAGGGATTACAATCTTCCAAAATTCAGAGGGGATTTCCTTGCTGGACTCACCATTGCAAGTCTTTGTATCCCTCAGGTAAATAGTCACTTCGATCTCAATCACGTTATTAGTATATTTATTTATGGCTAAAATTCACTTATGGTTACTTATTTATTTATTTTTTTAATATTACTTTGGTCTCTTAAAATTTAAAAAAGTTTATTTTAGTTCTTAAAGTATGTTTGTTGGACTAAGTTAATTCTTCTATCAAATTACCATATTAATTTGATCACTTTGGTGGATACATGCATAGTGAGAGTCAAATTGGTTAAAAAATTAACAGAAAGACGAATTTAGTCTTACTTGTATACTTTAAGATACCATTGTAAATTTTCTTTTTAGATACAAGGGATCAAACTGAAAAAAATAAAATGAAATGAGACTAAAATATATGTTAGCCAAATTATTGATATGAAAAATGTTAAAGAACACACTCTTTACCCATTTCTTATTTGGGGTCTCATTCGAGACAAATGTAACTTACATGAATTTCATCTTATAAAAAAAGAGAGATAGAAAATATACCGCGCGCTAATCGTTTGTTACGTGTTTTTGCTTCACTTTTTGACATATGAATGCATGGCAGGAGATTGCATACTCAAAGCTTGCGTATTTGGATCCCCAATAATATGCACTATGTGAGCATCTTGATTTATTTTAATATTTAAGAAAGCAACTTGGACATGTTAGTTCTTCAGTTATATGACTTGGCTTTCCTTCACTCTGTGCAGACACCAGTTTTCTGACTCCTATTATGTATGCTTGCATGAAGCTCAAGGCGCGTTGCCATAGGACCCGTTGCTGTGGTGTACCTCTTGCTTGGGACTATGCTATCTGAAGAAATTAGTGACTACCATAGTCATGAATACCTGCGTCTTGTATTTACTGCCACCTTCTTTGCAGGAATCACTCAAATGGCACTTGGTCTTCTAAGGTATAATAGTGTTGGTTGGATTAGGAAATGTATCGAGAAAATTTCATGTCTCATTTCAATTAAAACTAAAGCTAATATAAAGATATGTATGTGATAGACATTTCTCATCTTACAAATTTTATAGAATTAAATTAGGTCAAATTCACATTCTAATATTTATTAGAATTGTTCTAGATTCAGTATAAAAAAAAGATCACCCATTATTTATATATATTAAGTCCAATAATATTGAACATAAGATGTTATATTAAGAAAAATTTAAATCTCATATCAACAAAAAATAAAATTAACATAGATAGAATATATAAGAGATAATTCTTATTTTATAAACTGGTTTTATAGAATTGATTTAAGCTTTAACACACATTATGAGAAAATGATTATCATGCACTGTTGTTTTTTGCTTTTAGATAATACAAGTTTAGGGCCTAATTTATTCTCTACCCACTTTTATACACTATATTTTGGTCTTATTTGATGTGAAACTTACATATTTTTTAATACATTCACTCATGTTTGGTATTATTAGGTTTAGTATAGAATAGTATGGTATGTGATCTTTTTTTAATAGATCTAAGAGAAACTTTAATACATATTAGTGTGTGAGTTTGGAGCAGAAGTCATTCTTACGAAAGTCTTATGATGAGGATTGTGCCGTATTTTAATACTCTATTTTGGCCTTATATGTAATTAGCGTGAGACTTGGATTTTTCCATATATATGTTTTGCCTAAATTTTTGTTGTTACAATCTACAGATGAATTTTGCAGGCTTGGTTTCCTGCTTGATTTTTTGTCTCATGCTGACATTGTGGGATTCATGGGTGGAGCTGTCATTACTATTTCTCTGCAACAACTGAAGGGTCTGCACGGCATACAAAAGTTCACTAAGAAAACTGATATTGTTTCTGTCATGAGCTCAGTTTTTAGTCCAGCACATCATGGGGTAAGCTTCCATTTTGTTTAGAAAATCATTTTAAAATGGATCTCACAACTCACAAGCATCTTTGTTTACAGTGGAATTGGCAGACAATAATCATTGGATTATCATTCTTAGTTAATTAGCGTTGTACAACTACTCAATAATTAATGTTTGAGCCTCTCTTATAAAAATTTCTTCTATGTATTGATCAATGTCACATTAATCAGCGTTGTTATGTAGGATCTTTTTCTCGTTCGGCAGTGAACTGCATGCATGGCTTGTTGTAAAACACCTGTGGCAAACATAGTTATGTCCTTCTATTATAATACCTGCGGTGCTTGGCCTTGTGAACATTTTTGGAAGATTGACAAATTCGATTTTGTTGCATGCATGGGAGCTTTCTTTGGGGTGATTTTTAAAAATGTTGAGTTTGGCCTTCTAATTGCGGTAATTACAAAAACCAAGAGAAAATTTGAAAAGTGTCTTCTCTGTCATATTTACATAACCTTCTTTGTGCAGGTGGCTATATCTTTTGCTAAAATCCTTTTACAAGTGACAAGGCCAAGGACTGCAGTACTGGGAAAACTACCGGGGACTACTGTTTATATATATATATAACTTATATAATATCAAATTTTAGTTGGATTGAATTGGATTTGATCCAAATACTTAAAAAAATCTTATCCAAACTTATTGAGTTAATTTAAATTTATGAATTATCCATAAGAGTTTACCCCGTGTTAACATGCCAAATATTTACCAATTCTTAAAATTATTGTCTCAGTCAATGTCTTATCTCCATAGTGAAAATACATCCGAGAGTATATTACCTTTTTATTATTATTATTATATATATTTTTTAAAGATAAAACAGTAAGTTATTTGAAGAGATCTCACTTTTTTCAGACAACTCATGGTTATTTTCACCTTTTTCAAGAAAAATAAGAAATAAAAATAATAGAAAAAAAGATAGTAACTAGTTTATAACATGGAAGTGAATAATTTGAAATAGTTACAAAGATTAAAATGTCATTAAAAAAAAGTGTACATATCACCTTTATGTATATATGATTATAAATATATATAATATTACTATAAAATAACATAACGGAGTCACCACATTACTCGGCATTTTATTCAATTTGAAACAATAGCCAGATTGATTAGGTTAATTAGAAAAACTTAATTAGCTCATACTCGACTTATTACTTTTGTTTGATTGAATTTGATTTTTCGGGTTAACCGACCCATATTCTCTTGTTCAGCAGATTCAAGTCAACCTTAAAGCAACAACGTCCTCCTGTTCTTCACATTAATGAAATAATCAATTCCTGAAAAGTTGACCAATTCAAGAATCTTACATGAAAAATTACCTCAGCGATATACAGTACCATAATTGTTATTTGTGTTCTTCTTTTATATTAGAATTAAAGTTTTATTCTTAGAATATGCATATATAAAAAATTCATTACTCATTAGATGTCTATAACTATTTGATGTAAAACTACACACCAGAAAAGTTCCAGGTGTCAAAGATCAGACAATGTTTGCTGTTACTTAAAAGTTTGTTTAATTTGTATATAATATATATTATTTATAGACACAGATTACATTAGATAACGATTTTTAACTACTACAATGCTTATAATGAATATTTGTAACGAACAGCCCAGACATGAAAAATTCATACAGTAATATTCAGAATCATTAGGAGAGAAAGTATAGTTTGAATATTTCATTTGATGTGTTGCGCCCTGATTCTACTACGTACCCCACGATGATCCCTCCTTTCGTGCCATTCTTCTATGAGACCTTCTCTTCAACTCAGCCACGGGCTCCTGCCACCTAATTCTCCAACTCTCATCACCAACACTCATTTTACTTCTCAAACCCAACTCATAATCATACTCTTCTCGAAGCCTCGGATTCGACAACGTTTCATAAGCTGCGTTGAGTTGAACAAACATCCTCGTTGATTCTTCTTTCTTGGAACTATCACGACACACGTCAGGGTGGTACCGAAGCGCCATTGATCTATACGCTTTCTTTATGTCATCCATGCTTGCACTGTTCGGACTCAGAGATAGTACTTTGTAGAAGTTTTCATCAACACCTCCACGCTGCTTCGTGGCTATGCATGAAACACAAAACTGCGTACCAGGATTTCTCTGCTGTTTCTTAGAGAGTGGATGGAAGTTGAATGGCTTGGAAATATTAAGGCTTGAACTTAGGCTTAGGACATCCATTGCTCTAAGTTGTTTGTTTGTGTCTCAACTTTTGAGAATGAGAGGGGTGTATTTATATTTAGTTAAGGAAAAGAGATATAGTAGCGTTCAAATTTTCAACAAAATGATATTTTGTATTTAATCATTGTAAGCCTTCCCGCGTTTTTGTCATGATTAGCGCGTTTTCTTTTAGGAAAAAGTAAAGCAATATCTGGTAATATAGTTATAGCTGGTTAACATATAGCTGTATGCTATGTCATTTGGTATCCTTTTTCTTTATCATTATCCACATTGTTATTATTCTTCTTACCCAACTTGAGATAAATATGACATCATCCCGCGTTCCAACTTGGATTGAATTGGATTTGATCCAAAAACTTTTAAAAAATAAGTAATCCTGATTTGAAATGATATATCATCATGTTTATATATATATATATATATATACTTTGTCATCCAATTTAAGTCTAAAAATGAATTTTTTTTAATTACCTCAAATAAAGATCACTCTCATTCAAAGGATAATATAATGTTTACATTTAATTCAACTTGCTCATGACACCATCAAAATAATGAAAAATAAAAAAGAAAAAAAATGAACTGAAGGCATGAAATGGACATTACTTCATCCTTATTACTATTGGTTGTTTCACTAAATAGGTTAAGATAGTTTCTTATGCTAGTGTCACAAGAAATATGATGGTCAAGTTTATCAAATGAGAATTAACTTGTCATTAATGATCTATTGAATCATATCATTAACTTGTCAAAAGAGAATTAATTGGTTAGTTGTTCTTATTCTCAAATCTAAATTTATTTATTTAATTAAATAAATAAATTTAACCAGATACTTAACGAATCAAACTTAAATATTTCACTAATAACTTTTTTTTATTTACGTGTTAGGGTGATTGTTTAGGAAATAAATTATCTTTTATCAATTTTTTAAATAACATTTTGTGAAACAATTTATTCGAGATATAATTTCCTGTTAGCATGAATATTGTGCATCATAAAGTGTTTGTTTTGGTAAAAAAAAAAAATTGAAATCACTTTTAAAAAAGAAAAAATGAAAGATTTTTTTATAAACTAAAATTAATTTAAGTATAAATTAACTTGTGGAATCTTTCTCCTATCAGTTTTTTTTTTTAAATTTTAATTCTAATTTATACATAGGTCAATTTTAAGTTATAAACTATTTTATTTGAATTTTTTTTATTTTTTTCTTAATTGAAAAAATTCATTTAAACAAACCTAGGGTCACCATAGAACCTTGATATCATAAGGCTTTCGAAAGCTGTTTTAGTGCTTTTACTTCCGGTAGCCAGCCATTTATTCTTATGCTCAGAAGTTTTATTACATTTCCAAAAATACCCCTTGAATTAAAGAATTAAAGAACACCCTTTTGATTTTCTACGCTCTTCTCTTTACTTTCGTTCTGCCTTTCCTCAATCCAGAAGACGATACAAAACACCTCAATTGAAAGTCGGTATTGTGGTGATGCATTAATAACTTGTTTAGATATATATAAGTTATAAGTATTTTTTAAAGTATTTCTATTAAAAATAAGGAATATTTTTTAATAAAGAAATTTTAAAAAAAATACTTCTAAACTTGTATATAAATAAATTATAATTGAAAATTGTGAAAAGGTTTTCAATAAAAAAAATAATGAGTGAATTATTAATATGATCAGTACAAGTAGTCATTTCCACTTATATTATTAAAAGCAAATAACAAGTGATAGCAATTTCGCCTTATATTATTAAAAAAGAACAAACTGCAAATAGCACTCTCTCATAGGTACTGCTCATATTTTCAATCACAATAAAAATAATAAGTTGTGTGAACTAATCATTTCTCCTGTAATTCTAGATACTTGTTTCCACTTCTTCCGAAAGAAAAATAACAAATAAAAATAATAGAAAAATGTAAAATAAAATAGTGAATGATTTATAACATAAAAGTGAGTAATTTGAAGTAGTTATAGAGATAAAAACATCATTATATATGACTACGAAAAAAGACACTTTGTGCCTGTTTTACAAAAAGAAAAACAAAATAAAAAGGTAGTTATTTGAAAGTGTACTCCTCTTGTTTAAAAAAATTAAAACGAAAAAGAAATAATAGAATTGAATAATTATTTGAAAGATGTAGGTGTTTTATAATTTTTTAAGGAGTAGTTTAAGAGTAGAATTAGAATTAATAAAATGTGTATGTGAACTATTTCAAAAAAAATAATAATAAATAATAAAAATTATATAAATGAGATAACCCCTTTTAATAATAATATAGATTATAAATAATAACTATAAAATAACATAATCAAGTCACCACAAATTAGTTGACTTTTATTTTATTCAATCTTTTCCTTTTAGTCCATGGACATAATTTATATGGTATCTTAAAATTGATAATTAAAAATTAATCTACCTTCCCGTTAACCAAATTGATTAGGTTAATTAGAAAAACTTAATTAATTAGCTGATCATACTCGACCTATTATTTTTGTTTGATTGAATTTGATTTGTTCAGTTAACCGACCCATAAGCCCTTATCCAGCAGATTCAAGTTAACATTAAAGCAACAATAACTTACTCTTGTTGGTCACATTAATGAAATAATAAATTCCTGAAAAGCTGACGAATTCAACAATCTTATCGATACACAGTATCATAATTGTTATTAGCGTTTTTCTTTTACATAAGAATTAAAATTTTACGTTCATGCATAATGAAAATTTTCACTAGGTGCATGATACTTCATTTCATGTTTTGCACCCTTATTCTACTAGCCCACGACGAAGCCTCTTTTCGTGCCACACGTTTACGAGATCTTCTCTTCAACTCAGATACTTGCTCCCTCCACCTAATTCTCCAACTCTCATCACCAACACTCATTTTACTTCTCAAACCCAATTCATAGTCATACTCTTCTCGAAGCCTCGGATTCGACAACGTCTCATAAGCTGCGTTGAGTTGCACAAACATCCTCGTTTGTTCCTCTTTCTTGGAACCATCACGACACACGTCAGGGTGGTACCGAAGCGCCATTGATCTATACGCCTTCTTTATGTCATCCATGCTTGCACTGTTGGGGCTCAAAGAAAGTATCGAGTACAAGTTTTCATCAACACCTCCATGCTGCTTCGTGGCTACGCATGAAACAGAAAATTGCGTACGAGGATGTTTTTGGTGGTTCTTAGAGAGTGGAAGGAAGTTAAATGGCTTGGAAATATTAAGACTTGAGCTTAGAGTTAGAACATCCATGGCTCTAATTGTTTGTTTGTGTCTAAACTTTTGAGAATGTGAGGGGTATATATATATAGTACGTGCCAGGAAACAACCTTTGACATTGATAGGACTGCCATTGAAACTTCATACTAATTTATATTAGTTGAGGAAAAGAGATAAGTTTCAAATATTCAACAAAACCATTTTTTGTATTTAACTATTCTAAGCCTCCCCCACGTTATTGTTATGATTAGCATGGTTTATGTATTATATTTTTGTTTGATTTATTTTTTCTCGGTGTTTTTTATTCTTTTATATATTAATAATCTCTTTAATTTAATAAATAATATTTTGTAAAACATGACATTATATTTATATTAATATTATTTGTTTAAAATATATACTATATATAAAATATATATACTTCAGTATAAAATTACATATATTAATCTAGCTGTTTGTATATACACTAGATTCAAAGTTATGAATACTGATTAAATTAAATTAAAATAACTGGTATGTGCTTAAAAAAAAGCATGAGAGTCTGTAGTCTATGTTATTTTATGTATAATAATGAGTCTAACAAGATTTGAATTTAAAGTCGTCTAGTGTAAATTATTTAAATTTCTCTTATCAGTAGGCCGAATTTGGCAGATATATAGGTGTTGAGCTTGAGTTGAACTAAAAAGAAAGACAAGTTGTGGTGTCTTAAAAGAAGAAAACGTAAAGCAAGTGAGTGATTAATCTTGCATTTAAATAATTGATAATATGAGAAGTTGTTTTTGGACCAAGCAGAAGATGTTAATTAAGAAGATAAATAAAATGTAGAGGCAGCCCTTTTTTGACTGATACAGTCTATGTGTTTTTTGCATAGTCCGCCGGCAAAGTCGAATCTAGCTAAGGGTTCATTTTGAAGGCAATGAACGACACAAATTAAAGTACTATTATTATTTCTATTTTGTTTTACCATGAAATTAATATGTTCATGTTCCTAATCCTATGCATCGCCGCAAAAAAAATTAAAGAAAGAGAGAAAGTAAATTAGCAAATTCTTTTTTCTCTTTAAATAAAGTAATACACTTGTTAAAAAAAAAAAAAAAAATTCATTAATAAAACAAACGCATGATAGCTGGCCGCCTGGCCTCATGCCATATAATTAAATTAAAGGTCTTTGATATTTTATTGGTACACTCTATATTTTAGTATTTGAGATAACTTTTTTTTTTATATAATTAAAATTTTTAGTAAGTAATAAATATTTATATTGAAACAAAAATAAAATATAAAATGTTTGAAGATGTGAAATGTATAAAACCCCTTTTAAGTTGTTAAATGAATTTATCATCATTAAAATAAAACCTACTACAATCCTTAAAATTTGATATGACAGTATCGAATCTATTTTAAAATATAAATAAATTAAGAATTTATAGGTGAGTTCTCTTTATAATCTTTGGATACTTTTTTAAAAAGTTAAATGTATTTTTAATTTTTTTTTATCTTATTCTTTTATGTTTAAAAAGATTTATTTTTGTTCTTTAATTTTTCACATTTGATTGAGTTAATGATATCAATATCATTACAAAACGGTAACCCTTTTAAATTTTATTTTGAATTTTTTTTTATTGATTCAATAAGTGAATTTTTTTTAAAATATTATATTTACTTACGTGAAAACAATATGATTTAATTAATATTCTAACCAAAAGAAATCATACACATGGATGGTGAACAAAAAAATTCTAATATCGGATTTGATTGCTTCTGATATTCATTTAATAAGGCAAATTTTATATTTTGAAATGGTCACAGAATTTAAAGGGTTTAAAAAGTGTGCTTAAAAATATTCAAAATGATAATTATTTTGAAAGAAGAATATTAATTCAAATTTAAAAGTTAAATAATTAAAATAAATTTAAAAAGATGAAGGATGAAAACATAATGAATACTCTGTCATTCTTATTATAAGATATTTTTAATCACATATACTAATATAAGTAGTTATATTAATTAATTTTATTATGTTTATAAAATAAAATCATGATGTATCAATTTTATCCTCTTTATTTATTATTAATTTTTTTTAAATGTGAATATATTATTTCATATCAAAATTTATATACTAATATCAATAAAATTGATACATGGGAATTGAAAAGTGTGAGAAGTGAAAAAGAGAATATTTATTTATCAAATTCTCTTTTCATTATTTAACAACAACAAAAAAAATATATATATATATATTCTCACCATCTTTAATAAGAATAAAAATAAATAAATAAATAAATAAAATTAGTACTTTATAAAATATGTTGTTAAAAATATGAGTATCTTTGTTTTTAAATTGTACCTTTGCATGAAGAACCGGGAGTATTTATTTTTAGTACATAAATTGTTCAAGTACCTACGATGTGGTGGGTGTGCCACCGAACTACTTAATGACCATGATGGTGAGTAAACGGCGGATACACCAGCACTTAAGGTTTTGCCGTTTTGCATTATGATTAATTGGTCCAATTCTTATACATACCTAAATCTAATAATTAACACATAACTTCCTTTGTGGTTCCTCTCACTCTCTCTTTCACTTCAATTTTTATCACGTGAGATATAAAATAAATTTGTCAAAAAAATGTAAAATATATGAACTTTTTTTATTATAATTAATATTATTATATATAGCCGGTAAGGTAATAATTGAGGTCCTATTGAGAAATTTCTTGGATAAAAAAATACTTTTAACTAATCGTATATATCCATTAGGGATAGCCTTCTGTTGTATGTGATTAAGAATTAAGCAAGGATTTCTGCACGTCTTTGCTGGAAAATACAATGAAAAAGACAATTTGGATTTGTTAGCTTCATATGATTATTTAATTTTGCGTACACCATGTATATTTTGTAATGGTGATCATGAGGAGAAAATGAATTGTGTCTTTGTGCGTAGTATGTTGCTCAATTCTCATCTAACTCTAGCTTCTCGTCAACAACTTGTGCAACTTTTATTATTATAAGGTTTCAAGAGGGCAGAAATTTTTGAATTGATTAAATGAAACAAAAAGTTTTTTCACAATATATATTCCTGTTCACGTGACACGGAATCATCAAGTTTTAGAGTCGTGTTCGTTACTTCTAGAAATTAAAATTAGCTCCTTAATTTGTATATGCTAACACTCAACCTCCTATTAGTTAGTTTAGGTAACATCCACTGATCCAATAAATGCAAGTTTGGACTCATGCAAAACTTTTAGTTTGGCCCAAGACCCAAGTCATCGATCTTCCTGCACCCTAAAATTTCTGTCTCCAACGGGTATCTTACTAACCATATATCACTATAGTGCTATATTAAGAAAGTTCATTATATAAACTTAACTGAAAATTATATTATATGATAAATATGTAAAGTTAAAATATTCTTCACTTATATATATACTAATCGAACTGAAATTTTTAATATAAATTTTTTCATGTTGAAAATTGAACATCTCTTATTTAAAGTTTGTAAAATTAAATATCTAAAAGTAATCTAATAAAAAACAGATATAGTCTATGAAAAATCTCTAATACTATATCTTAGATTTTAGGTTTAATAAATAAATAATATTAAATAATCATAAAGTACATTCTTAATTACTCAAATATCTAATTAAGAGTTGTTATTTTATCTCTAGATTAAAAGGCTTAATTAAAAACATGTGGGAGCATAGACACTCCACAAATATCCAGGTGCCAAAACCAATACTGAGCCTGAACCTTGGAACAGTGGAATACTATAAAAGTTCCAAGCGGATCAAAGATCAGACAATGTTTGCTGCTACTTAAAAGTTTGATTAATTTGTATATATTATTTATAGACATATAGATTACATTAACGATTTTAAACTATTATAATGCTTATAATGAATATTTGTAGCCACGAACAGCCCAGACATGAAAAGTTCATACAGCAGTAATATTCAGAATCATTAATTAGGAGAGAAAGTATAGTTTGAATATTTCATTTGATGTTTTGTGCCCTGATTCTACTACCCCATGATGATCCCTCCTTTCGTGCCATTCTTCTATGAGACCTTCTCTTCAACTCAGCCACTTGCTCCTGCCACCTACTTCTCCAACTCTCATCACCAACACTCATTTTACTTCTCAAACCCAACTCATAATCATACTCTTCTCGGAGCCTCGGATTCGACAACGTCTCATAAGCTGCGTTGAGTTGCACAAACATCCTCGTTGATTCTTCTTTCTTGGAACTATCATGACACACATCAGGGTGGTACCGAAGCGCCATTGATCTATACGCTTTCTTTATGTCATCCATGCTTGCACTGTTCGGACTCAGAGATAGTACTTTGTAGAAGTTTTCATCAACACCTCCACGCTGCTTCGTGGCTATGCATGAAACACAAAACTGCGTACCAGGATTTCTCTGCTGTTTCTTAGAGAGTGGACGGAAGTTGAATGGCTTGGAAATATTAAGGCTTGAACTTAGGCTTAAGACATCCATTGCTCTAATTAGTTGTTTGTTTGTGTCTCAACTTTTGAGAATGTGGGGGTATATATATATATAATATAGCTAGGAAACAACTTTGACATTTATAAGACTATTACTAGTTTGCCATATGGCAGCTACATTATTAAAATTATAATTGAATTTAAATATATTTTTAATTCTTTAAATTTAAAATAAATTCATTTTTAATCTCTCAATTTTTAAATTAATCTTTTTAATCATGTAATTTCAAAAATCTTATTTTAATCTTTATATTCAATTTTTAAAAAAATATCAAATATTATCATACAAAATCTATCTACTAGTATCTCTTTTAATGAAAATATAATATTATAAATTTCATTGATATTGTATAAATATCTTAATTTATCATTTTTAAATATATTATTAATTATTTAAAAGATTAAAAAAATTAAAAACTATAAACTAAAAATAAATTTATACTAAATTTAAAGATCTAAAAATATATTTAAACATTATAATTGTGACCTAATCTAAACTATTCAAAATTTTCAAAATTTCCAAAGTTCTATTAATGTATTAACTTTTAGAATTTCATAGCTATACCCAATAATATCAAAATTAAGACCTGGGAATATTATTCAAATTTTGAAATTACAATCTTATGCATACTATTCTTTATTGTTTAATATTGTTTATCGAGTCTAGTAATTATTATTAAATGTTGTCATTAAAATCTGACACCAGTTAATTTTAATTAAGAAAAAGAATGCCCAATTTTTCAAAGATATATATGATTCCGGCCGTATTTAATTATTCAAAACCTCCCTTACGTTCTCTTTAGCTTTAGCAGCGACGGTCTTTTTAGGCTAAACTAAAGCAATCTAAGGAGATAATTAATTAGTTATCTAGAATTGTTTGTTTTTGTTAATTTTAAATAAACCGTGTCCATTGACGATTGAGTTTTGACAAGAATAATCTGGAACTTTTAATGGTATGAGAAATGGTCTTCAACCCAAGTTGAATCTTCTGGACGTTTGGGGTGACATAAGTATAAATGAAGACAAGTTTTCCTGTCTTGAAGCAAGAAAACGTGTAAAGAAGTCAATGATTAATGATTTAAGTATTTGATAACATGAGAAGATGTTTGGGCCAAGCAGTGCATAAAGCAAATCCTGTTCTAGAATGTAGAAGCGACAACATCAAGAGGGAGTGGCAGCCATAGCTATATTAATTTGACTGATTGTGTTTGTTGCTGCGTTTTTGCATCTACTTGTACAAATGCCTCACTTAACTTTATAGGAGTAAAGACAATGAACGACACAAAGTAGTCCTAATGCCTATTATTTTACCATAAATTAACCCTTTTTTTCAGGGCCGAATTCAACAAAGTCCAAAAGAGAAAGTTAATTGAGAAAATCATTCTTGTCTTTAAATTAAGTGTTTTATACTTGTTAAAAAGAAAGGGAAAAAAAAAGGTTAGGTGGTCTTATATGTAATAATAAAAAATAAAAATAAAAGGTTAGGTGACCTTGTATGCAATAATTTATGTTTTATATAAGATTAGTTATTGTTGTTTAGTTTAATTAATTAATTTTTATATCACAATATAAAATATTTATTTTAAATTTAAAATATAATATCTATATATTCAAAATATTTAATTATTATGATTTTCATAATTTATATATCTTATAATATCTATTTGTTATAAATTTTAATTATATAAAAATAAACATTTATCTTGTACATTTTTCGTGCCAAACCACTAGTTCAAAAATAAAGATGAAAAAAATGTTGAAAGAGATAAAACTAATTAAAAAGATCAACGAAAATATTTTTGTTGAAGAATTTTTTTCTAAAAGTACTTTCAATAAAGAATAGTCCTAATAATACTCTCATCTAAAATAACTATTATAATTTATATAGAGAAAAAATTTATATAAAAAAATAGTATTAATTTACATTTAAGCAACTTTACATTAATGTCACTAATTTTACTTTAATAATTTAATTTTTTATGTAAAATATTGAAAAGCCTATTCTAACATTATCTTTGTCTATGTACAAAAATATATTATCTTTGTGACTGTATTGTTGCGATATTGTTTTTCAAATTTACTGGATGCGTACCACATTCATCAATTATCTAACAACGTTTATCTTACAAAACTGTGGGTAATGTGTTTGTAAATAGCTACTTGGATATACACATATGGTAGAATACCATATAAATATTACTGGCACGATATATACTCATTTGTACGAATTATACTCTTATTTTAATGTATATTTAAAATATATTTGTTTACTTTTAAAATTAAATTATTCAAATAATTAAAATTAAAATCATACTCAAGCTCTAATAAAAGAAATCCTTTTTTATAAGTTTAAAATAATTTTTTTTATCGATATTAATTGATACATAGTAATTTATATTTCTTAATAAATTATTTAAAATTTGAATATCGATAATATTGATTTTAATCTACAAAATAGACTATGTTAAGTGAGAGACGTACCAATATTATGGTTATATTATAAATAAAAAAAACATCTTTTCCTATTTCGATATATATTTTTATTTTTTGTAGTGCCACTCTCCTTTGCTAGAGTGGTTTTGAAAATTTGATTCGATAAGAGAGGTATAATAGAGTACAGATACATCCTATACTTCGGAAAGAGAAATATCATTGAAATAAGTGTAATAATGATGATAATGATTTCTTTAATTCGAATAAAATCAGTAATAATAACAGTATTGAAATAATAAAAAGAAAGAAAATTTTGAAGGGAAAATTTTGCATGAAGTGTTGACGTGTATCCTAATGAAACATTGTTTTATTAATAGTAATGGATAGATAAGTTTGCTTATAATAAGATAAATAAAATAAAATAAGACAAGATAATTCATCTTGTTTTTTTTTATAATATTGTTGTATCACCACGATGGACTTAAATTTTTCATAAATATTTTTAAGAAAAAAATTTCTTCATGAGTTAATTAAAATCAAATTAAGTATAAATAAATTTGTAAAAAATCATGTATTAGTTTTTTTTTAACTTTTATTTATATATAAACTAATTTTAACTTAAAAAATTTATTATATTTTCTCACTTACACTACAAAAATATTCCATATAATGACATATAAAAAATGTCACTATATGTATAATATATGTAGGTATGTACCTATTTGACATATAATTACATACAATTTTAGTGTTAATTTTGAATGAGATTTAACAATAAATTTTATGTGTCACTATAGTCTATACCTACACTTTTTAATAATATATCAACATATATTATATTTATTGTGTAGGTAAAAATAATTTTTAGTGACACGTATTATGTCATTATAGCGTGTGTCACTATATAACAATTTTTTTGTGTTATTTTATTCTTTTTAAGTGCTAATGATAAATTAATTGAAAATTACACGAGATTTGATATTTTCTAACCACTTATTTTGACAAGGAAAACCACATATCCCCGGCTTGTGTTTTCTACTGTCTTTTCCGTCAAACCACACTCCCTCACACCACTTTAGACCACTTTAATTGGACGTAGGGCGTGCAAAAGATTAAAATATATCTGAATTGATGCATAATCAAATTCATTTATATTAAAAAACTTGATTAATTTTGAGAAAAAATCTGAACTGATTTATTTTGTAAAATTAATTTGGTTATTCGACTTAATTTTATATAGCGGATCAATTTAATTTTTTTTATAAATCAATTCATATATAAATAAAAATCAGATAATCATACTGTATCAAATAAATCTAATTTGAAAATAAATTATCTATATTTTTTAAAAATCAAATCATCTAATTTATAAAAAGTGATTCAATTTTTTTTTATCAGCCAACAAATATTTATATTATTATATATACCGGTACAAGAGGTACCAAAACTCATATATGTAAGATATGTAGAAGATTATAGAAATCTGTCCACCTACAAAAAACCAAATTAACTTTTTAATTGAACCATTTCCTTCTCTTCTTGGTATAACTCTCCTCCCTAGTCGACCCGCCAATTTTAATTATGACAATTATAATATCCCCCAACTCTTTCCATACTAAATCCTAAATTTAAAATATAATATTTTGTAATCCCCTTTACCCTAAACCCTAAAAATGATTCAATTAATTGATCAATTTTTATAAAATAGATTAATTCAATTGGATTTATATTTTTCAAAAATTTAATCTACACACCTATAGTTGAACGACAAAATCAAAGACTCATAATAAGACAATTAATTGAAAACATATATTATTCTAATCAATGTGTTCAAATTTGATCCTAATTAATATAATATAATATAATATTTATATAAAATAATATGTTAGATAAAAGTGTTGATCGAATTGATTTTATCATTTAAATATGACTTTTATCTTATTTTATAATTATACAATTTATGAAAAATATAGAACAAGGATAGCACAATATTAAAATTATTAAATATAATGTAACATACAATACAATATAGAGCCTATTAAAAACAAGAACTTAAAAGATGAGTTTTCAATTAGAGATGCTCTAAAATAATGTGAATACTTTTCTAGAACATGAACAATTAAAAAAGAAACAAGTGTTTACAAAAAGTATTTTTTTAGAAAAAATATTTCTTTAAAAAGTATATAAGAATTATTTCTTAAAAAAACATTTTTTTAAAAAATAATTTAGACAAATACATAAAAAAAAAATAGAAAACTGTTTATTTTATTAAAAAAAATTAAAAAAAAAAGAAGTAAACCAAATAGACCAGTACTTAAAACCTACATGGATGCCACCCTCAACTCCTTCGTGGCCATAAGATCTTCTTTATTTATTTTTTCTTTTATTTTCTCTGGCTATAATTTCGGAGATATAAATAGAGATTTGTGACATTTGACGAAGAGTTTTATTTATTTTTCCGAAAGCATGATAACGGAAATATATAGAGAAAATAATTTTTCAAAACAAACTGTCAATGCACCACAACTAATAAGAATATGGTAAAAAAAATGTATAAGTAATTATGGGGTATTGT